TTTATTCATTTATTTTTATACTGGGACTCAAATTCACAACCTCAGGGTCGGGGAGATAGCTCAGTAGAATAAATGTATGCCTGGCAAGCACAAGGGCCTGAGTTCAATCCCTGGTTCTACCAAATAATTTTGTTGAGAAACAAATAGTAATGAGATAGTTTCAAAACCGATTAATAGCACGGTTTCAATAATTAATACATTGCCTATTGTTGTCTTAGTGGTTATTCATTGTACAAGATGCAGGCATGATATCCTGTCCACAAACACCATTAGAAATCTTTCTATTCATTGAATTAAGAGAAAATAGCTGGATATCTATCTCAACTATTTTTTATAGACAGATACACAATGGTCCTTCATTTGTAAAAATATGAATGCTTCACGAATTTGCGTGTCATCCTTGCGCAGGGGCCGTGCTAATCTTCTCTGTATCGTTCCAATTTTGGTATATGTGCTGCCAAAGCGAGCGCCATGTGCTAAGTTTACATCAAAAAAGATTAAGGATCTAAACGTTAAAGCAGAAACAAACCGCTGGAAGATAAAATAGGTCTTGAACTCTTGAAGACATAGGTATAGGCAAGAACTTGCTTGTTCTTTTTCCTTTCTTTTGTTTTTTGTATTTTTCAGATAAGGTTGCACTATGCAGTTCAGGCTGGCCTTGAATCACTTTGTAGCCCAGGCTGGCCTCCAATTCACAGTAATCCGCTTGCCTCGGCCTCTTGAGTGCTGTGATTATAGACATTTGCCACCATGCTCAGCAGGTAAGAACTTTCTGAACAGAATCATAATGGCACAAGAAATGGTGCCAAGGGAGCTGGGGAGATAGCTCGGCAGTTGAAGCACGCGCCTGGCAAGCGCAAGGACCCAAGCTTGATCCCCAATAATGCATGCTGTGTCAGCCCTGTGCTGAGTGTGGTGGTGCACTCTTGTAATCCCAGCACTGGGGAGGCTGAAAATAGACGGATCACTATCAGTCCGAGCTGTGTACTGAGACCCTGTACCAAATACATTTTTTAAAACAAAAATACCTAAACTAAAACTAGAATTCCATTTGACTGAGCTAGTCCCCTTCTAGGTATCTTCCTGAAAGAGTTATCGATATCATATTACAGTGATCCATGCATGCCCGTGTTTATAGCAGCACAACTCTTAATAACCAAATCTTGGAAGCAGCCTATATGTTCATCAGCAGATGAATAGAGAAAGAAAACATGGTATTTGCACACAGTGGAGTACTAGTCTGCCATAAAGAAGAATAAACTTTAGTCATTTGTAGAGAAATGGAAACATCTTGATATCTTGATATATAT